AGTCTATGTCGAAAGTTTCCTGCAGACATCTTCATATTTCAAAAAAATTCCAAAAAAAAAAAACTTCAGATACATGGCAAAGCGCTTACTGGTTTGCCTTTAAGACGTTTGTATCTCAATCATAACCGCCTTTTGTTTTTACCCAAACGATTGCTCGAAAATCTCAATGTTGAGCAACTCAGTGTCATCGATTTTTCAGGTTTGTCTTCCTTTATTTTCCTTTCCTTTGCATTGTTATGTGTATTAGAAAAAAGCACGAACACTAATTTGTCTGCAATTATCCTCTGCTTTTCGTTTAATGTTCCTATTCTTTAATAATGAAAGTAATGATTTTTTTTTGATTTTCATTTGAATGACTTTATTTTGCTTCCTAGCACTCATCCCTGTTTTTCTTATTTTTATCTTCACAATTTTTTTTTTTTTGCTCTCTCTGATTTTCATTTTTATTTTTTCAAATAAAAAACTCTTTCTATTGCAGATAATCTCTGGCAGTGCATTTGTGGTGAAGAATGGTTAGCAGATTGGTTATCATCAATTGGTGATCGAAACGTGGTTGATGGTAGTATGGGATGCATTGGATCAAGAGTTTGCGCTATAGGACGTACAAATGAGGAAGAGCATAGTGTCTGGATAACGGTTATTGCTAGTGTACTTGCAGTCGTTTCATTGCTCATTCTGATTGCAATAGCTTTGCTGTTTGTCGAAGATGGTAAATTCTAATTTATATAATATTTTTAAGAATTTTAAATGAATAATTATATCCTTTGATTATTGTTAATGCACTTTAATCTTACTACTATCGTTTGATTGCACAAGCCTATTATAAGTCGAAGGTGGTAAGTTCATTTTTTACTCTCTCTCGTAACAGTTATTTCATTTTTTTTTTCTTTCAGGAAGACGTATGAAAAAACTATCGTATCCATTACGACGAGTACCTTTAGATCTTCTACAGCTTATACCGAACGGTTCAACAACATCATTGCCATATGAAAATGGCATAGAGCCGTTGCTTACATGTAACACCGTTAGCATACCAAAGGAACCATTGTTAAACGATGGCCAACTTCGATTGTCCACTTGCATCAAAAGTGCATTAATTGTACCGAATCATAGTAATAAGAGCAATATTGAAAACAGTAATAACGGTAATGGAAAGAAACGAGTTCGTTTCAACAATGCATAATCGTTAATTGTTACAATTCAGGTGCTTTTTCTATGCATATGTTAAGAAATACAATTAATGATTTGTTCCGTTATTTTTGAAAAAAAGTTTAAAAAAATGAACAGCCAGTTGCGGGAATTTTAACGTTTTGTGCGGGTTTTTTGAGCTATTTGGGGAATTTCTGTGAAATTTTCTATAAAATTCTTTTTGTGCACTTGCTTGTAAAGTTCGCTAAAATTTTTAAATAGCATATATGAAATTTGTGACATCAGGATACTTCTATAATTTTTATCTACTTTACCAACAACATATTATCATTGTTACGTTTACATAATATTCTTGTTGATATTTCTATTTATGTTTCTTTTTTTTTTCTGTGACATGATATTAAGTTTTTGATTGCAGCGTTCGCTGTTGATTCTTCATAAAGCATTCCATTGTGGCATTTGTGATGCTGATGCAATGAATTAGAAAGAGACTTTTTTTTTGTTTCAGTAATGTTTCATATTTTGGTGTAGTTTTATGATGAGTACTGATAAGTGGGTGTAGTTTCATCCTAGAACATCTGGTCCAAGGTCCGACTTTAATTCTGTTGTGATACCTGCTCTTTTTATTTCTGTTGAAAATGCAGTATTATTTACGTTGGTGAGAGAGTCATGAATCAATGAAACATCATACTATTATATCATAGTATGATGCTTCATTGCATCAGCACAATTTTTTCAAAAGTTAAAATTTTAAAATCAACACACAAGATTTTGAAACTCTTGAAGAAAGCAAAAAAATTTTGTGTAACTCTATCGAAGTGCAGTTAATAAATTTTTGTTAGTTTTTTCCATCTTTGAAATGCTTAATGTTTATAGTTCGCAGGTACGCATCATGGCTTCTTTTTTTTGAATCATTTTAGTCTTTGATTATTTGAACTGTTACCTTGTTTGCACAAGTCACTGTTTTATTTTTGGCCTTTTCGTGTAAATTATTTGTTTATTTCTCAGAGCATTTTGTATGTATGATATTGTAAATATTCAGCTTGGAAAGGTTTGTTTCAGAATACTCAGTTGTTCTTGTAATCTACTTCTTGGCGGTACTTGGGAGTTCAACCATCATCTGTTTAAATGGGATTCCGTCATCTATCAGCTAACTGTGTATTAGCTATTAGATGATGGTATGCTTTAGTTTTTCACTTCCCTGAAAATGAACAAATACTTGTTCATTTGTTGAGGTGTGAATTTTTTAAATAAAGAAATTAATTAAATATCCATTAAAAAATGACACTTGCAATTCTTTACTTTACAGGTATGCAGTTATTTTAATCTCAGCAATGCTGAAATTAGAGGATCGAAGTTTACTTTAACGCTAATCAGGCGAATTTATTAATAGAATGAAACCATTTTGAAATTCTGGTTTCTATTGGTTTTTTTTACGTTACCGATGAGTTATTCTTGATCCTTTTCCATGGATTTTGGTTGTCACCGTGCTGTATTCCTCGTATTTCTACTCCATATCTGATATGTTTTGTCGCAATGCACTATTTTTGTTTTGATTTGTACAAAATGTCATCATGTTTTTAAAATTATTTGCTTGACTCATCCGACTTAAAATCAGGAAACTTGAGTCTTGACTTCAGAGTCCGATTGTTCCCTAATCCACTAATCATTTGAATTTCAATTTTAAGCTAATGATTTGCTAATGTAGTTCTGCGAAATGAAAAATTTTTGGAGGCTTTTAAAGTGCTTTTTTAAAATAACTGAATAACCGTTATTCAGATGTTTGGCAACTGGAAAACGATGCATCTCCATTAAACTTAAAATGTAATTCAATTACCGAAAATGTTGCGTGATTAAGGTAGCAATCCCAGACTAAATGCATCTGTAATTTCAGATTAAACTGCATCTGGTTGATTTCACTAGACCTTTTTTGTTCAAGAACTTCCATTCCCTATGTTGTAATTTGATGAAGGAAATTATTTTTTTTATGTTTGTTTGGCGCATTTTTCACGTAATTTTCACAGCGTAATCAATCAGCGATATGATATTTCTCAAGGACACTGGCGTTTGAGGTTTACCAATGTATTTATGTAAATTTACTCGTCCATATTTTCTCACTTTCTTACTTTGTCCCATATTGTTGTGAAAGAAAGCTTAATACTCGGTTCTTTTATATTTTCGACTACAATTTCTGCATGTTTTTTTTTTATTAGCAGCACAACTATCTAAAAATATAATCTCAGTTTTTTGTTCTTTATTTCCTACCTTCTATGATATTCATTTTTGATTTCATTTTAAATAAAACGTGCGACAATTTGGTGATTATATTGCAATGATACCCAATCATCCAATAAAGACTTAGATGGCTTAAAATTTGATTTGCATTTGAAGTCAGAATTATGATTTTGCTGCAAGAGTACCCGCCTTTTATATATGATCACGTATAATGCGATGATTAAGAGTTCCGTATTTTCGAACTACGTAAAAAGTTGTCACTCTTTATCATTCTCCGTAAGAAGTGAATGTTCAAAGCTTCTGACTGACCATTACGAACTTTCCCAATTCGCTATCTAGTGAAAACTGTGATTTTCAAATCAGATTTTTATCACCGTTCTCCCAGGAAGAATTGAAGATATGAGGTAACAAGAACTAGTGGTTCGTTTCGAGTGTTAGAATGTACTGTTGATTACCTAGAATTTCTGGAAAACTCAAAGGTGCAAAATGTGTAGTTGATCCTTTCTAGCTTCAAATTTCTGCGAAAAAAGTTGAATTGTATCAAAGTATTAAAATCAAGGGAAGCACTGATTACTAAGAAAAACTTATTTCTACATGATTACTCTGTTTATTCAACCATTTAATGAAGAATAATTATTAATGTAAGCTCAATTCATTAGGCTTCGGAACATGTTTTGTTTCTCTTTTTAAATCAGCAGAATGAAATGAACTTAGAGGTCAGTCAAAATCAGCTTTCCTACCATTCATCTCAGCTAACAAGCGAGATTTGCAAACTTCCCAGCTTTAGAAATTTCAGTCTATCAGAAAGAAAAAAGAAATACTTATTAAGCATTTCCATACTTCCTTTCTAAGATAAAATTTCCAATTTTGAATGCTCAATGATTTGAAATGTTTCACTGATAAAACAAAAAAAAAAAAACAAAAAACTTTTAGAAATCACTTCTTCTGATCCTGAGGCTCCATACATTAGGGACATCGCAATATAGAAAGATACAGAATCAGTCACCGCCCCCTCCCCACCAAACATCACACACAACAACCACCGCACCCACAAAAGACTGCTCAACCAAATCCTTAATTATGAATATCAATGTAGCAGAACAGAAATTTTGGTTGCGATGTATGACTATGAGTGCACATTGTGAAATTTACATAGCCCAGGATTTGCACACGATAAGAAGTGTTGGGGATTAATTTTATGCTTTTTAGGGATCATACGAAGAGGATAAGGGGTTTTGATGGAATGATCAGGTAGTGGAGTGTAAGCGTGATTTAGATGCAATGGAAGGGTGCAAATATTTACATCTGAACTGTATGATATTGAAATCAGTAAGATTAGTCATATCCTTGAATCCTAACAGGATTTCAACTAATTATCGTGATCAAATTCGAGTCATTTTATATAAGCATGTAGAACTGCTTTATTGCGTGAATAGTAACTGTTAATTAGAATTGAACACGTGAAGAGCTAATTGGTGATAACATTGCGAAATTCCCTTATAGATTTGATTCATTTGAAGAGTACAAGCAGAGTGGTACTTGAAAACTCATTTTATAAATGCAGCATTAAATTCCATATTGTTTAAGGTAAATGTATAGTAACTGTTATAGGTGGTATGAATTTGAACCTTGGCGGAAGCAAGAAGAAACAACATCATGTTCGGAAAAAGTACAGCATCATTACGTTGGATTTATTTAAGCCTACAAAGAAATCATATCCTGAATTCGACTATGAAAAAATTTGCAAAGAATATTTGGTAATTAGCTTACCCTTACCTTATCTCTTTTAATTTCCCCTATTATATATTTCCCAAGCAAAATTATTAATATTATTTTCTGAAACACTATTTGAATGAAATTCTTATATCAACGCTACTGGCTGAAGAACTCCTTAATGCAGTTGACTTTGAAATCAGAAACCGAAAGTTAGAAGTAACGGTTAATTTTCATCAAGGTTGTGTGGATGACATGCTCTGTCAGGGAAATTCTCAATATAAAATGCAAATCAAGCATAAGTTTCATTGCTTGATGAACTGAGCTTAATTTCATGCAATGAATCCCATCCATTAGTGCGTCATGCTTACTTGTTTGTTTCAATCTTTAAAAATTTTTTGATAATGATTTTTGTTTGATGATGGATAAGAATATGTAATTCTAGAAAGAAGATGAATCAAGTGGTGAGGATGAACGTTTCCATGATCGTGAAGCAGAGGAGATAGTGAGAAGGTTGGAACAAAAATATGTGAGTTGATTATTGCGTTTGTCTCGATTATTTGATGACTTGATTTCACCTTAATTTCAAAATATACGCAATTTGTATAGTTGCATGAAAGTTGTAAACTGAAAAAACGTTCCATCAAATATGGTATTATTTGTTCAGAATCTGAATTAGTTGCTTGTTTTCAGGGCGGCAAGAGAGACAAGCATGGCCATAAGATTCGCTTTGGTTGTGCTGATGATTATATGGATAAAACTGCTGGTTATGATCTCACAGATCCATTTATTGATGACACGGAAGCTGTAACTTTTTTAAGATTTATTTACATGTTGGTCTGGATAATTTTTTTCGTCTTATTTGTATGGCACTTAATGTAACTATTTAGTATGACGAGCACGTACCTTCCGCTTTGGATACTGCACGTGGAGGTTTTTATGTTAATAAAGGAAAACTGGAATTTAAATCGAAGTATGCTGAAGATGATGGAGATAGTGATGTTGAAGATACAGCTGCTAAGAAGAAGGCGGCAGAAAAGGTAAGGTGTAGGGCTTATCGGTAAGATTAATTTCATCGTCAGCAGTTATTCTTTGATGAAAAATGTCGCAATTTTAGGTGCTAATTGTTATTCCCATTTATGGCTCTAATTTGCTTTTCTCGTGTATTTATTCTTCAATGCAATTAAATATAGAGAATTTAGGGATTTTTTTTTGTTATAAATATTTGGATCATTATAATATTCGACCATATCCATAGTATTATTGTTAATTTCAGGCATTGCACTAGACGTTCTCAATCCTGTAAAATATTCTGATAATCATTTCAGAAGCGCAAAATCTCTAGCGATGAGGAAGAAAGCGGTAACAAACGTGCTTGCATTTTCCCACCTGCAAAACCATCTGTGGATAATACTTCACCTTCAATGGAATGTATAAGAGGATCAAATCTTCAGTTACCGGTGAGATTGTCTTCATCCGGTGCTGCTCCTACGGCTAAAGCAAGCGACGCACCTCGCAATCGTCTACTTACACAACAGTATATTAAAAAGCGTCGCCTTTTGGGGCAACCACCAATGTCAAAAATTCAGTCACCAGCTGTAAAAGCTGCTCTGGGTGTAAAAAAGAAGTAAATACTTTGATAAAAAACAGATTTTGTACTAGCATTTTGAAAAATTACTTTGAATTTTCAACTCTGTTGCTGTTCTATTATTATTGTTAGGTGTAGTATTGTGTAGTCAAGTAGATTTCGCATTTCGAGACGCCAGTATGAGCAGTTAATTTCAGTTAGTATGGTTTTTGGATCAATTTTTTTAGAAACTGATATCCTTTATTATTATTTCAGGCTGAAGCCACAAGTGAAGAGAGCAACTGTTGGAATGACCGATGAAGATTTAGTTGGATTTTTGAAAGATATGGCAGGTGGTGAAATAGAAGCTGTAGAAGAAATGGAAAGTGTAATTTCTGCGGCAAAAGATGTGTGGTTTTTTTAAAATCATATTTCTGCCAAAATGTAGTTTGTGACTTCTCCAATGATAACTACTTGTTTTTTTTTCAGCAAATCTGTCAGAAAACAACAAACACACCCAGTGAACGTGATACTGATGTCGATAAACCGGTAACACCTGCTACTGAGAAAGTACTACAATCACAGGTAGCTTCTAGTTCAAGTTTAGCTGCGTCTTCATCCACTGTAGCCATTCCGAAACGCTCACCTGGGCGGCCTCCTGGTTCAACAATACAGGTTAGATTGCTAACTGGACTGTCACTTTATCACACTTCAATTATACGTTAAACTTGAAAATATCTCGTCCATTAGAATTTGTGAGTTTCAAGTTCAGTTAAGTGTTATTATTATTTTTAATTTTTCAATTTTTGTTTTTATTTTTACGTTTACTGTCTTAGCGCAAACAAATGCCAGTAATGTCGGATAAATTGCGAGCAATGATCGACACATATCAAGAAAGAACCAGACAATATGGCGCACCCAATAAAAAAATCCGTCTTCCACCGAGTTTGGTTGCTCTTTGCATAAGGTTTGAATGTATCATATTAAAGTGAATATCATTTAATCTAAACTAATGTTGTTTTGAGTAACTATTACGCAGGAAATACTCAATACAAAGTTCCCGTAAAATGAAGAAAAATTTATATTAATCAGATTAGGTTTCCTAATTTATCTACGTAGTATTTACCGCAAATAGTTTAACACTAAAATGCAGTTAATAAGTAAAACAAATTTATTTTATTGATGTGCATTTACTGTAGATCATAGAGCTTTTGCACACACATGAGTAATACGTTAATTTGCAGAATTGAAGAGCAGTGTACGGTGGAACATTTTAATCATCAACAAAAAACGCGAATTTTTGATTCACTAGCCAGTTGGGTCTGTGTGCAGCGAAATTCGCTTTATATTCGTATGAAAGCTTATCGAGATCGTCATGAAGTTAGTTGAAATGACTGGCAATTATTGATAATAACTAGTAGCCTCATGATATATCATATTGTTTGATGAGATAAAGCATAATATAGGTAACAGAGTCTTAATACTTCACAATATACAAGATTTTTCTGCCTTAAGCAATGATTACATTTTGGGTAAAGCATTAATTTTTTTAAAAAGTAGAGCTCGTGTATATAGTGTATTTATAACAGGAGAGTAAATTATTTATGGTACAAGAAGCCATAATGCATTTATTGCGAAAAATTTGATAATCGTATATATATACAAGTTTTATTTTTGGAATGACTTTATATTATTTGCACGAAGTGATTTTGTTTCGATTAACTTTTAATATTTTCAGCCACATTCTGCTTCGGACTCGGATATCATTACGGATGAGCCATTTAGTGAAATTAAAGAAGCACACTCTGTAAATGATGAAAAATTGCTTGGTTCAAACGATTCATCTTCTTCCGTCGTTATAATTTCTCCATCACCTGTTATTTCCGAATCATTACCGAGATCTCCTTCTGAGACAACGATGTCGGAAAAGAAGGAACAGCTTATTGGAGTTAAAAATGCAACAAGCAGCGATGCTGCTAGATCATCAAGTACCAAACATACTCCAATAATAAAGGAAAATACTGAAAAGATGGGAATTACATCAGATGCTTCCCCTCCATCCGTATCTACAACCAAATATTGGAATTCTTCGTCCCCCTCAAAAACAGTAAGTTTTTTTGTCAGAAAATTTCTTATTTATATTCATTTATTCCCTTGCATCAACAAATATATTAGATCTTTGTGCAAGAGCACATTAAATCCTACCGGTATGAAATTTTAATTGATATCGTTTCAAAAATCTTTAGTGATTTAGACTTTGAATTGCTTACCAAAAGTTATCAAGAAAAAGGACTATCTCTGTTATTGATGAAATACTACTTTTTTGTAGGCTTCTAATCAGTCGAAAGCGTCGCTTGCAACGAATGTCACTAGTGCATTGAATAACACTCAGTTGTTATCTGTGTTTGCGACAGTGATGCAACAAAATCGTGGTGATTCCATCTGTCAGCAGCAACACGTTGCTGACAGTTTAACGGCTCAAATGAATGCTAATATTCTAAGCAATAAACAGCAATCGGAACTTTTATCACAGTACCAGTTGACTCTTAATAATCTCGTAAAGTGAGTCTTGTATGTTTGATTTAGTTTTCTGGACTAACACTTATTTCTTTAAAGTTTTTCATTTAATCAGATTGAATGTCTATTTTGAAAACTGAATCTACATTTATTTGGCAAAACCTTTTCTAAATAAACTTACCCACGAGAGACTGCAGCTATTTTGCACTACAGATACACTTTTTTTTCGCTATAAGCTCTTTAGAAATCTCCTAATCTACATGCTACGTGATCTGCTTGATGTTAAATTATTTAACAGTGTTTCAAAGTCATTCATTCACGTAGCGTTTGGTGTCGAGATTGTTACAAGATACGACAAAATGAATGATAGGTGACCTTAATGTTTTTCTTCATGACTTATATTTGAATCTATTTATAGGATGAATACCATAACATCAGCTAGCCCTGCATCACCAAAGCCTACTACTTCTAGAAGTGATCCCCAGCCGTCGAAACCTCAACCAAAACCAAATCGATCACTTTCTATTAACAGTTCTAATTCAAATTCAGTACAAGTAAGTCCTCAAAAATTATATACAGAGTGCAGATACTTTCTTTTATGATTGCAATATTTATGATCATTCATTAAGGACATTATTAATTCTTGGGTATTATTCATAATTTAATAGCGATTTTACATTATGTTTCACGTCTTGAGATATTGTATTTTAGACACTGAAACAGTTAACGAATGAGAAAACTTCACAGGCATTGAAAGAAATCAACAATGCATTGGCTCAAGTTGTTTCAGGTAACTATATATGAAAAGTCTGAGTATAGAATTTGATATCAGAATATTGAGGCAATTGTTAATTAATTGATTTAATTTCAGAAGTAGAAAAAGCTCTTATTCATACCGAAAACGAATATGTGAAGGAGAAAGCGAGGTAAATTGAAATTTATATTGAAACACTCAGTTGGCTTCAAATCACTCATTCGTAGCTTGTAATTAAGCATATGAAAGTATAAATTTGTTAAAAGTCATCATGTTTTTAAAATTGCCAAGATGGAAAAAATTATAAAAGAATTATTTAGGACTGAAAAAGAAGGTAAAATTGCGCCACTGAAACGATTCATTTGGACTGATCCACTGAGGTACATTTTTTGTTGAATTTTATACCTTTGTTTTTATTCAGTTTAGTTGGAATTCTATCATGATTGTGAATAGAATATAAGGTTTGGATGTTGCTGTGCTAGATTATTTCACACTCGACACTTTAATTTTATACATCGCTGAATTGACGATTTTCGTTTCATGTTAAATTAAAATATTTGCTAATCCTTTTTATAAATATCAATATTCTTTACAGGACGGCATTGAAGAAACAAATAACTTTGCTATTTACTAGTTTGGAGCAACATGGTGATCCTAACCATGTTGTTAATACAACAGTTGTGCAGTATTTGTATTATTCTGTTAGACCACTTTTCAAGGACTATATTAAATTTAGGTAATTTGCGATGTTATTTTGGTATTCCGATGGACTTTGTTTTCCTTTATTTGTGTCATAAATGTGAAGTAGCAATAATTTGTAAGAAAGCGAAATGATTTAGTTATTGATAATACTTTTAATGCAATGGCGTCCCTGAAAGTTTTGGTGATGAACTTGAATTTTAGTCTTAGGAAGGTGATATCATCCTAATTGACTGGGGAAACAATGCACAAAATTATTTTTATCCTTGCAGAGATTTGATGTTGGAGATATTACGATTATGTCCAGAAAGACGGCAGCTAGTTCTTATTCCTGAAATGAAAGCGTTCATTGAATTAAGTGATGCTTCTAAAACACAGCCGTTAGTTTCATTTTCGAATAATTAAGTTTTTTCAAATTTGAATTTTTTAATAGTTTGCGGGATCTAATTGAATTTTGGATTCTAATTTTAAATTGCAATGAAATTTGACAATAGCTTAATGAAAGTACGAAATAAATATTGTGTTTTTAAATATATGATCTAATTGCTACTTATTTCCTAGCTTGGTTCAGGTAAATTGTACCACATCAGATATACATCCACTGATTTTAGTGATCACGTGGTTATTGTGATTTTTTACCATTTTCTATATTAGGTCTAGTGATGTGATAGGGATTTTATGAAAAACAAGGAGAAAATATGAAATTAGCGATATAGATTAAATCAATCAACTTTGCATTACACTAGATTTAATTTACTATGTAATTGGTTAAATTAATTTGATTTTTTAGTGGAATATCTCAAATAGGATCTAAAGTGCTGAAAACGAGAACCGATACATTCCCCGCCAAAATTTCTCCGAATAAAAACATGTCAAATACTGAAGTTCGGAACACATCAACCACTAATGTTGTGGATTTTCGTTCGAATACTGCCGGTAAAAAGGAAAATCGTTCGGTGAAATATAACAATGGAGTGGAAGTTGAAATTCTGGTGGGTCGAGTTGTAGTAATAATTTGTCATTGTTAGGCATTTTTTACATGAAGTACATAATGATCTCAGAGTTTTAATGACAATAAAATGAAGTAACCTTTATTCAAATTGATCTCATATTGCATTTAAAGTTTAAAGCGCTTTTTCTCATTTCATTCCCAACGCCAATCATTTTTGTTTTTATGACTACAATGAAGGGGTTGAGAATTACTGAAAATCAAAAATAAGAATTGCCGAAGATGAGAGAATGAGAGATGTACAATACATTGTATTTTAAATTACAACCAGAGTGAAATCAGATTAAACAGTGTTACTCTATATTACTATTTTTAAATGCTTTCAGAAGAGCTGTATAAATGATTTGATTATCCTCATTTTATGCAGATAGTGTAAAAATATTTAAGTCGATAGATAGTCAAAAGAAAAAGATGGATCATCATTAAATTTATTAAGATAAATCGTCTTTTGGAACTTGCTGCACTCGAGAATGTACTGTAGTGAAAGTGTATGCTCTGGTCCTAATCCTGTCATTTTTAGATGTTTTGTATTCTTGATTTACAAAAGATGAGATCTATGATTTGATTGCTAATTCTTATGAATATTTTAGCTGTTAGTAGTCAGTGGCTTACTTTCAGCCTGGTTCAAGTCGTCCATCCATACTTCACACTCCTAAGTTAACTTCTGGGCAGAATGTCATTTTAATCCGAAAGAATAAGGAACGAGAAAAATTTTTGGCTGAAAAAGCAGTAAGTAGGGTAGGTTTGTTTTGCAGAATTTTGAATAAATTCTAAATTGGTTGAACTCGATTGTTTTAAGGACCAGTTTTTTTAGATCAAAGTTTTAAAGCAGGCGAGCGATCAAAAAGTTTCGTTTTTATGAGATAGAAGTTTATGTTCCAACTAATTTTCAAGTTCTGATTTCAGGAAGCATTCAAAGAGCGTGAAGAGGTTGAGCGAAAATTACAGGTGTGCATCATATTTTTAGATAAGAGAAAAATTTGAATGCATAACGAAAAATAAAAATTTTTTATCAGTAAATTTGGCGATAAATTAGTAAACAAGCTGGATCAATATTGAAACTGATGTTTTCCATTTAAGTAGTAAAAAGATAACTTTCGTATTCATGTTTTCATTTTCCCATACAATTCGTTTTTCAGGAAGAAGTCGCTGAAAACGGACAACGAGATGAAGAAACTATCAAGAAATGGGAACGAGAGGTAAATAGAAGAAAATTAATTATATGTTTCAGGAAAACCTTGCTAATAAGATGCAAATTCATTTTAACTGATTCTTTTGATTCACGTTTTCTAGGAAGCTGAGCGATTGGAAGGAAGTAGAGATGAAGATGAAGAGTTGGGTGCTGTTGAGTCGATGGATTTTACTATGCGACCAAAAGTACTTTTAAAAATTGACAGAATATTTATTATCCAAATGATGAGAAAAATGAAATAAGAATATATCGTAGCATAAAAGCCAGTAGCTTAGAAACGACTCATTTCATTTAAAGATTTCGTGTTTTACTGATTTTCTTTCTAGTTTTTAATTCGTCCAGATGCAAAAATTGAAAATGAGATTTATTGAATATTTCAGTAAGCATCTTAGAGTTCCATTTTTTATCAAATGATAATAGGCATAGTTATGACATCGTTTATTTGATATAATAGCGCTCTTGAGACAACTTTCTTTCAGCCTTCAATAGATTATCTTTCGTTTCAAATTTCTGCTTCATATTAAAGTTATCTTGTTCATATTTCTTAGCTTTGTCATAATCATATTTTAAAGGAATGTATTTTTTTGTTCTCCGCTCTACTTTTGCATCAATTACAGGATTCTCACTTGCAAGAAATTGAGGAAGTGGAATTGGGCGCCGATACTGAAGTTGATATGAATACCGAAGAAGACGTATGTTAATTGGTAGATGATTGTTTGCAAGCTCCTCAACTTAATAATTTGCTGTCATCAACTTGAATACATTTTTGCTAATTTCCAGGAACAGCGCTTTATCCAAACCATATATTTTAGGTGAATGTAGATCAAAAGAATGGAAGTCAGACGTGTAACTCAGAGAGTGAACAGACATGTAGTAGTACTGAAACAGAACAACTTGTAGTAAAGGTGCTTTTTTGAATTAATAATCGACTTCAGTAGAAAGTACTGGAATTTTCATCTTTTTAATTACTGAAAATATTCTCTAAGTTTGTTTTCGAAGATTCTTTTTTCTACTGCGATGTTGACTATCTCTCAGCAAAAAAAGGAGTTTGAGATCTTCGATGGTGCACTTCGATTTTTACATCCAAAGTGGAAAGTATGTTTTTAATCATTGCTATGGTAGAATAATATTCAAAGAGTGGAATATTCTTTCTGTTGTGAATTCGAAGTTTTTAAACACTTGTTTCATCATTTTCATTTTTTTAAATCATTAGTTCCAGAAAACGGAATCATGCAGTAATGGTTTATCTGAACAAAGCTCACCTCAGGATCCTGCTACTACAAGCAATATTCAGTCGGTTCATCCATCTTCAGTGCCTCGAATTACTCCTCCACAAAACAGCCGGCAAACAAACGTCGTGCACTTCACGTCTTCAACTTCATCTTCATACAAACAGGAGTCGCCGGTAGCAGTGTCGTCTCAGAAGCTTCCAGGTTCATCCGTGTGTGCCATCACTTCTAACTTTTCATCGTAAGTTGTTTTAGCCTCAAAAAAATTTGAAAATGAAATTCCTTTCAAAGAGTTATTAAAAAATATCGTTCCAGAACTAGATTCTCGGAAACGCATCATCATTCAAATTTTTCGCAGCGACAGTCTTCACATCTCGAACAAACTACGCGTGAATTTACATCTCTTAGAAGCCCAAATCCTCAAGCCAGTAGTAATTATCACTCATTCTATACGCAGCAACAACCTTCATGGAGTGCCAAGCAACTTCCTATTTCTTCTCCTTCTCTTTCTAACGACCGTCATCCAGCAACGTTGCATTCCACTTCATCATGCCATCCAGCTTCCTCTTATACGAGTAGCACTTTTACTACATCACAGACGATTCAGCAACAACCTGCTTTCTCCCCTTATTCAGTTCAACAGCGTCAAATATCCTCCAAAAATCTCCAATCCCAGCATACGTCAACAATACGTCATGCTTCTCAAGTTTCTCAACAACCTGTTCAAGAACAAATGCGTCGACATCAACATGGTTCCACACAACATCCATATAGTTATCCTTCGTCTACTTATAGCACTACGGCAACTATCCAAAAGGCTACTCTTCCAACTTGCAGTATTCCTCATAATGCTTCACGAGTTTACAACACTGTGCTTTCATCTCAAAAGGTTGTTCATCCGCAGCGTTCTGTATCTTCAGCTGGTTCCTCCTCAGCTTTTTCACCTTTACCACAATCACCTACTCGACAGCAGCAGTTAATGACCCATCAATCAGCATATAATTATCAACAGCATCAGTTTTTGCTTCAGCAGCAACAACAACAGCAACGACAAAAGCATTTGTATGATGAACAACAACAGAATCAACAGAATCAGGATCATCAAATGTATAATAATTGGCGATAAGTAATTTCTGTTTCTCTGTAAATCTTACTGATGATATTTTAAAAAAAATTTATGCTTTATGAATACTTTTTAGTAATTTAATTTTCTCATCCGATTTTTATCTAAATAAAAGACACAGTACGTATTCCTTGACAGCAGTCAAACCAAATTGTAATTAATTTTGACAGATGAAAAGCCAGCTTGGTTTGCAATAAGCATATCTTTTGTTTATATGTTATTAATTTACTTCTTTTCACAGAGATTTTGCAAGTTGGGAGGGATAACTACTGACCAATTATATGTTTATATATTTTTCAATTTTGTTAACTTTTCAGCATTTCAAAATATTATGAAAAAGGAATTGGAAATTGTTCTGAATAAAGATAAAATAGTACTTGATTTTACGATGAAGCTCATTCAGTTGGGAACTTTTTGTATATTTTAATCTTATTGAAATTGAAGTCATAGTAAATTAATATTTTTAGATTCTAAGAAATATTCTTTTTTATGACTCTTTCCTGCGCATCTGTAATCAAAGTTTATCAGCTCAAAGACTTCATATGGGTATTCTCAACAGATTAATAAATATTCCAATTTCTTGACTAGGTTTTCAAAATCTTAAAAACAAATGGGATCAGTATTCTAAATCATCGTACTGGAGAATCTTATTCATTACATTTCCAACTGCAGTCTTGTCTCTCAATTCTTGATAGAATAAATTATTAGCCAAGTCTGGATGTAGATGACGTATAAAATGCAGTTATTGCCCAAGAATTTACTTATAACAAAATTCACAGCCAGAATTTCTAGAAACTTGTTTATTTTGACAATAATTGAATACTTCCTTTCATGTTTATTTTTCCAGCGATTGAATACTTTCTTCCTTTGATCATAAATCGGAGGATCTCAAGCAATGCAATTAGAAGTGGTACTGTGCTGTGTGATCTGTCTTATGCCGGTTACTGTATGGGTTTATGACTTTTCAGTATTGTTCTGAATGTATTTTTTACAATTTTATGAAGCAGAAATGCAGAAAATGAAGTCAATTAGTTCAATTTTAGTCTTTCGGTATCATTCATTCTTAATTAATGAGATTTTCTTCAATTTTATTACTTTTTAAATTTACTTTTTTATACTTCATCATCAGGATACCGAATTTGAATATTCGGTCAGTTTTGGTTTAAAATTCAGTTCGGGATTTTGTATGGAAATTGTTGGCTGTTAATAATGCTTCTACCTTTCATTAGTCGAACCATTTTTTTATAAGAGTGTATAAAGGATAAGAATATAAATGTGGTTTATATTGAGCTAAAATCACGCTAATTGATGAAATTTTAAATAGGTTAACTTAATGTTTCAATTTGATTACAGTGGATTCGTGAGTGGCTTTATCACTTACCATTGTCAAATTTCTAGGAGAGGGGAATGTCTGAAAAATTGTTTCAGTTTACTTTTTTAAATGTTTCACATTCATTCAATGCTAATTTTCAATATTTACAAAATGCGATATTTTTTGTTTCACCTGCATTATATGACAAATACATTTATGTGTTGTTTATTCTTATTTTTACTATTTATTATTCTACGGATGAAATTTCGTCCTTTTTTTGATTTAAATTAGATATGTTTTGCTGCCCATTTGTAATTTTTTATTTAAAAATTGTATGATTTGAGATCAAAGGATTTTAAATGTGAATTTTGGAAGATTTTTTTTGAGATTGTTATTATTTTTTGCATTGATATCTAATGGCTGTGCTAATTCGTTGATACATCAATGAATAAAGTTATTTTTTAAGATCTAAAGGAATTCAAGTCTCTTTATTACTAATTTCAAATTCAAAATCTGAACTGCCCATAATACTGAAATATTTAAATGGACTTAAGGTAAACATCACGAGTTGGAGTCATTTTTGAATGAAATTTTAATCTTTACGGATGTCACTTGATGAAATAATCCAATATTTATGAGCTAGTCAAGTTGATGTTAGCATGCTTTACTCAAAGGCAAATTTAGCTGTCAAATTGTTGAAATTTTCAAACATACCAGACGGTAATTTCATTGTATTCCTAATATTTGCCCAATATTTTTCTCTCATATTGGTTCAAATCAAACATGGACTAAGAGCTGGGTTTAGGGTCGAAATTTAGAATTGGGTAGAAATCTGCAGGGAAAGTTCATAAATGCATGAGTAGCATGGCTTGAAGATTTATAATCATTGCATAGTCTTTGAAGGGACCAATGAAAAAATTATGATCTTATACGATTATCCTGAAAGTGCACTCCATTAGTTCGGATATTTGAACTGAAGTTGATCGGTGTGATATTTTCAACTTTCCATTTTCAGGCAAATTTGTGTATAAAAATTTTGCTTAGTCTCCTCTGAACATTCAATATATTCAATATGTCGATGAATAATTTACATACTATAAAAGATTTACATAATTTGAAACTTATTTCGATTGAGCAAATTCAAAATATGCAAAATTTTGTGCTTCATTTTTTGCTGAAATTAAAAAATTTTAAAACAGATGAATGTGCGATACAGTCTTTGTTTTTTTTTCAGAGAAGTTTTTTTTTTTTTATTTCAGAGAAACAGTTATAACAGATGATTGAGAGATGTATGATAGTGATTTTGCTGCTGAATGGTATTGTAAGTTTGAAATGTTAGTTCATGCTAATACTTTCATTTTATGATTGTTTCATTTCATCAGAAATAACACATTCAATATATCAATCTCTTAATAGTTCAAATAGAGATTTAATCCATGCTGTACTCTCAAATTTTACTTATTTTGATGGATAAAAAATTGAATGATTAATAAATATTATTAATTTATAATTTGAAGTATAAGTTAAAAAAAATTTTAATTTTAACTCGATTTCAGTTTTCGAAGATATATTCACTCCATCGGACAAATATTATGGTTTGAATTACTCATTTCATTTTTTCCATAAAATCAACTTAAATTAACAGTTCAAATTTTAATTGATTAACAAGATTTCATTGTTGAATTCGAAAAAAAGAGAGAGAGAGAGAGAGAGAGACTGACATTATTAACCATGGTACTATTGGAAATTTGCTTGGGAAATTTTTATGCACTTAACATCATTCCTTTATCTATAAAAATTTATGAATGATTAGATTACAGATCCGGATGAATGTGGTATCATTACTAACACGACAGGAAAAACTCAATTTAAAATAATGGGTGGAGAAGATGCCTCACCAGGAGAAATGCCATGGGCTGTGGCATTATTTCATCGTCGAGGTTTATATTTTTTAGCTATAGCCTGGAAATTTTAACATACCTATTCTTTTTTTGTTCTATCCAAATTTTTTCTAATAAATATAATAGTCTTTCTTGTTACAAGCAAGTTAAGGGATAGTAAGTAAGTAGCACAAGAGAGATTCATAATCAAATAATTTAAAAAATTTCTTTTAAATTATGATTGAAAATAATTGAACGATGAGAATTTCGACTAGCTAAAGAGTATACTGAATGAGATGATGACATCGGCATCTTTTGCATTCATTCATCAACGGTAAATTTGTATGACCTATTATTTGTTGATTGTCACAGTTTTGTCATTTCTTATCATCTCTCGTTGTATTAATACATAATATATTCATTAAAATATCATTTATCATAAGAAATTAGATGAATAATATTTAGTGATCGCTTCCAAATTACACTAAAATACTCAATTTTTGAAAAATGCTCTCACATTCTCATTCCCAGAATTTATTTTATAGCATACTTGTGTACGGGAACATTGATATCACGAAAGCACGTTATCACAGCTGCGCATTGCTTTAAAAAGTTTTTCATCATGAAACCATGCAAGTTCGTCAATTTCTTAAATAGGACATAAGTAATTTTCAGTGCTTTCATGAGAATGATAACTTGACCTCTCAGAATGTTACCATTTGTCGGTTTGAACCTTTTCGAAGAAGCTAACGATATTATTAACTAAATGATTGTAAGGTCAGGCCATAAAAAATTATGAATAAGTCTTAAATGAAATATCACATTGCTAGGTTGCAGGTCTCACTCATAAGCAAGAAGTTTAAAGCACAATTAGCAATGGAAGAAATTAGCAGATTTCAATTTCGGAAAAATTCTAGACGTTTTCTTCTGCCCCTTTTTTGCTCTTTTATTTGTGGGAAACAAGCAATTGCGTTCTTTTTTGTCACAAACAGATTAGATGCTTAACGCTTCCAACAATAGCTAGAAAAATTAAAACTCCGAAATTTCTCATGCCAATAGCTTATATCCGAAAAATATTCGGGAAACAGGCCGATTACGCACATTTATTGCTATTTTTCAGGTCTTTTAACAAAATAAGCGGAATGATTAGGTTAAATGCAATCATACATAATGCCTGCTAACAATTAGTTACTTCATTCTTCAAAACTCAAAATTTTAGTTCGAAATTGAAATATTCAACACTAGATTGAAATAGTATTAAAGATTATATTTGACCAGAATGACATGATATTAAAGATGAACAGAAAACTTCTGTTAATAATGTTGTTTATAATTGAATACATAAATTACTCGTTATACGTTTCTCCTTATATGTGCACGTATAGCTTAATTTCATTCGAGAATTAAATAACATAGTTTAATTATGCACATAAACTCCTATAATTTCCAGCGCATCTTTTGGTTATTATGAAGAAGAAGCTCTTAAAATGTATAATATTTTATACGGTAGTAACTGTATACAACAACGAAATGAAAATTTATGTAACAATGCGCCAGAAATGAAAATCAGCAGAATCATTAGGTTAAATAATAATTTCTATTTTTGGGACTTTAAATTAAAATTTAAAAACATTGAGTATTATAGTAATTTTATTTGTCAAATTGTAAATAAAAAATATTTATTTCGAAAATTCTAATCAATTAATCAATAGATGAAATGATTTGACGAATATCACAACTTTATGAAATTTGTCGATATGAGGATATGCTGAAAATTTCAACATACAAAATAATTCAGATAGCTCTTGTCGCATTCTTAATGATAAAAAAAAAAAAAACGTTGTCCTACAATTTGTTCCTGTTGTTTATTTGTTACATCAGGACATTAGCATTGAAAAGTTGACACTCTATATGCTAAGCTAAATGAGCTGATCGTTATTTCATATCTGTTATCACTTATCATTGTATGTAACTGATACCCATATAATTAGAGTTGTATTTTAGAGCACAATATGGACGATTTTTTAATGAGAAATGTCGAATGGCAGATTTTGCATTGCTAGAATTGAATGAAATAATTAACGAACCATTAACCAATTATATTTGCTTGGGACATCGAAATATTGTCAGAAAAGAAGATCAAATACGTTTAGCGGGTTATGGTTGGGGTTCGATTTGTGAGTTCTTCAATTTTTCAAATTTTAAATCTAATTGCAAAAAATTATTTGGACTGAAAACTCTCATCATTTCAGTAACTTTTGATGACGAAAAATCGGCGAACAATTTACAATTAGTCAACTTTCCAAAGATAATGAATAGACTGGAATGTTTGCAAGTATCGAAAACAAAAGATGCAATGTGTGCAGTGGAAAGCAGAGAAGCAAGTACATGTCGGGTTAATTAATTTTGTTTTTTCAAATTTTAAATATTCCAAATCGCAATTATTACATGTATGGACGCTCAAATTATTAATTTATGTGCGGAAAAAACTACTTTCCAACGCTCCGCAACATATATCATAGCCGCTGAAGATGAAAAGCATAGTAATAGCAATAAAATCAAATCATTTTGAAAGTAAAATTTTATAATTTTAAGCCCTGAGAATCTTTGAAACCAGTAACTTTCAACTTCCCTTTTCCCAAGACTTAAAATTTTTACCTTTCTTATAATTTTTGAAAGTTTCCGATTGTTAACTAATTTCTTTATGAATCACTTTTTACTTTATTATGATTGTTGGAATAAATTTGAAATGAAGAAGTTCAGTACCTTAGCATTGTTCATCTTTAGCGCTTGATTTTTTTAATGTGATTGCTTTTTAGACTGTTAATTTGTTTTTGAATCTCTGTTTGCTTCTGAATCGATCTATCGATGAGATGTGCTATTATGTCCTCAGTCAACTGTAACTGTCATTTTTTATGACAACGTTTTTATCTTCAAAAAAGACCTCACTCATAGCTAATGCTATCTCTCATTAAAACTACAATAACCTGTGTGGCATCATCAGTACCTCTTTTTCATCTACCGACTGATATATTATAAATTTTCGTAATATACCGTTCCATCGTTACATAATTTCTGTAATATTTGCTCGATGAAACTGCATTTCGGATGAGAATCCAACAAAATTTGTATGTGTTCAATCAGATATTCTTGATCTTCTCCAATCATACATTCTTCTTCATCATATAACTGTAACTTATGTAACTTAATGTAAAGAATCATTATCATTTATGTAACTTAATGTAAATAATCATTCTCATTCTTCGATATCATTTAGTCTAGAGCGTTAAAAAATTCAGAATGCTGGCTCCAAAACTAGTCAAGAATTAATGCATATTCATATTTGGAATAAAAAAAAAAGGAAAAAAAAATTAATATACGTGTTCGTTCTCGATATTTTCTTTCTCAAAGCAAAACGTGATATTTATTGTATCATTGGTCGCTTGTGATGTAGATTGTTTGCCTCGGTGAATTCTCTCATCAAATTTTCCTTTTTTAAATTTCTTATTATTCAGCGAATTCTTTCGTTTCTTTGGATATCGTTTTGTAGAAGTATCCGTAATTTGATGCTGCTTATTTTGATTTGAATTGCTACGACCCATTCGCAAATTTCGCCTTCTTTCACACTTCGCTTTCAGATGATAATAACCGTTAAGCACATTTAGAACGAGTATAGTGAAAAGTTATAACAATTACAAATCAATCCACTTGATTCAATTATGCAAATTACTAAATTTTAATGTTATTCTTAAAATTATTGATAACATCGAGTTAAATGTGACCTGCATTACCGTTATAATATTTTATTCTTTCTTATTTAAACTAAAAAAAAAAAATGTAATTAATTTCAAATAAATATTATCCCTCTTTTTAGGGTGATAGTGGAGGAGGTTTAGCTGTACTCGGACCAACCGGTCAGTGGTCATTACTTGGCGTGCTATCATATGGGACAGAATGCAAGCAACTACGAAGGGGTGAACCACCACAAGCTCTAGTATATACCGATATTTCTCTCTATTCTATGGATATTGATGTATTTACCGGTTATGACAGCATCCTTCGACAATTATATCTGAAACATTTATCATCAGAATAAAGCACTTATCATATTTTGAAGTCAACTTGCATTCATACTGCACCAGTCTTGTAGAAAGTTTACGATTTAAAAAAATACCTAACAACTTTGACCTTTCTCCTCAACTTGGATTGTTTTCTTCCTTGCTTTCGAACATTATCATAACACATTGCCAATCAAACAGTGGAAGCGAATTTTTGCACAAAGTCCATGTCAAAGCTATTGTGGCATTACACAGCGGGACTTGTTGGTCGAAGATGGTTGGACCGGGGAGACGGGGCAGAGGTCAGGTAGTACGGAGGAGAAGTGAGATGGCACGGGGCAAAGGTGTAAGTGTCACAGTCGGAGATTGTAAGTGGTAGGGGGCGGTATTGAATAACATGTTATCTTCATTGGATACGATGAAATGTTTATAAGTTTGGTTTTATGTGATCGTTAACTGCTCATTTAGTTTCAGATAAAATCATCGCTTGGGAATCAACGACAACATCTTGAAGCTATGGCAAGTTTTTTTTTTTTTTTCAATTAAAAGTTTCTGAAAATCATACGCGAGGTTTAAAACTTCATAAACTTGTTGTATGCCCCATTGAATCGAACCGTTACATTATCTTTCAAATAGACAAGAGAAAAAGGAAAATAGGGGAAACGAATGACAAATAAGGAGCTAGTTGCTATCATCCTAACCATTTGCTATTATTTCAGAAGGGAACCTGAGGTCTTTCTGCTCTTTTAAAATACTTTCATTACATTTGCATCTCAATGTAATGAGATAGTTAACGATATCTGCCAACTTTGGTGTCATGGCCAAATCTTATTCCTCTCATTGCATTTCCAATTTATATTATGGCAAACAACCTATGAGTGAAGCGTAATATTATGTTAATCAGTTGCTCAAATTATGAAAGAATGCTTCGGCAACCGTCGAAAATACTTTTGTTGATTAAATAAGGG